TATATGTGAGAAAGAAAACTTCTCGCTCTTTAACCACTATATTTTTTAGGTGTCTGTGTAATAACTAATATTTTCTAACCAACAAAGAAGATTGTCACTGTGGTAAACCAAAACACTTCAAAATTGGGTGTCCCATACAAAATATATAATACCAGATGCTACAGTTCACTAGTAATAGGGAGATAACATTGATACACACAGAGCTCCAAACTGTTCAAAGGACCACTGGGGGCTTAGGCAGCCATCTTCACCTACATATCCATACTTTATGTATTGGGAGGTTGGAAAACTTAGGTCAGTGGAATTAGCTGTTAACAAAGGCAATCTTAGACACATTAGAAGTAATCCATTAGAATTCATGAGATCAAACATACTAACTTCATTGAACAACCACTTTGAATACTTATAGTTTCCATTACATAATTCCTGAAACAATCTAACTTAAAAAAAAATGGGCAGAGGACCTGAATAGACACTTCTCCCAAGAAGACACACAATGGCCAACAGACATATTAAAAGATGCTCAAATTCACTAGCTATTAGGGAGATGCAAATCAAAATCACAATGAGATACCACCTCATACCTGTTATAATGTCTCTCGTCAATAGGACAAGTAATAACAAGTGCTGGAGAAGTTGTGAGGAAAAAGGAATTCTCATACATTGCTGATGGGAATGTAAATTGGTACAGCCACTGTGGAAAAGATATGGAGATTCCTCAAGAGTCTTAGAATAGAATTACCATGTGCCCCAGCAATTCTTCTTCTAAGTATCTACTCCAGAAATTTGGAAACGTTTATCCACAAAGATATATGCATCCTGACATTTATAACAGTCTTGTTCATAGAAGCCAAGACATGGAAACAACCAAAGGACTCTTTGATAGATGACTGGATAAAAAAGATGTGGTATATACATACAATGGAACATTACTCAACCATAAGAAAAGATAAAATACTTCTATTTGCAATAACATGGATGGATATTGAGATTATCATGCTAAATCAGGCAGAAAAAGTTGAGAACTATATGATTTCACTTATTTGTTAGATATAAAACTGAAAGCTACAAATGAAGAAGACAAACAGAGTCTCTTGGACATGGACAATAGTTTACTGGTTACCAGAAGGAAGGTGGGGATGGGGGAGCTACATAGGGGTAAAAGAGGTCAAACATTTGGTTATGGAAGGAAATCTAACTTTGGGTGGTGAACATGCAATGCAATATATATATGGCATATTGTTGAATTGCACACTTGAAATTTATTTGATTATATTAACCAATGTCCCCTCCATAATTTTAACAAAAAAATGGATGGATCTTGAAAGCATCGTGCTAAGTCAAATATGTCACCCCAATAAAATTTTTAAAAATTTAAAAAGAATAACTAAAAAGTAGTAGTTCATCAAACTAAAAAGCTTCTCCACAGTAAAAGCAACAAGAAAAAATGAAAAGGCAACCTACAGAAAGGGAGAAAATATTTGCAAATTATATATCTGTTAAGGACAAACTCCAAATACATTAAAAAATTATAGAACTCAATAGCAAAAAATAATAATAATCTGATTTTTAAAATAGGCAAAGGAATTAAATAGACTTTTTTCAAAGAAGACATATAACTGGCCAACAGGTACATGAAGAGGTGCTAGACATCACTAATATTGGGGAAATGCAAAGCAAAACCACAACAAAGTATCACCTCACATCTGTTAGAATGGCTCTCATCAAAAAAGCCAAGAAATAATAAACCTTGGTGAGACTAAAGAGAATATGGAACACGTGCACTGTTGGTGGGAATGTAAATCATTGCAGCAACTACAAATAACAGTATGGAGTTTCCTCAAAAAGTTAAAAATAGTACTACCATATGATCCAGCAATTCCACTGCCAATCCACTTCATAGCTAAAGGAAATGCAAACAGGATCTCAAGACATATCTGCACAGCCATGTTCATTGTAGCATTATTCACAATTGGAAAAATATGGAAACAACCTAGGTATTCATCAAGATATACAATGGAATATTATTCAGTCATAAGAAAGAAGGAAGTCCTGCCATTTGCAACAACATGGATAAAAGCACTTGTGGGCATTATGCTAAGTAAAATAAGTCATAAAGGGAAAGACAAAAACTCTATGATATCACTTATGTAAAGTGGAACTAAAAAAGCCAAACACAGAAACAGAGTAGAGTGGTGGTTACCATGCACTAGAAGGAGGGAAAAAGGGGAATGTTCGTCAAAGGGTACAAACTTTCAGCTATAAGATGAGTAAGTTCTGGGAATCCAATGTATAGCATGATACTTATTATGTACTTGAAATTATATACTTAAAAGCATATTATATACTTGAAAGTTGCTAAGAGAGTAGATCTTGAATGTTCTCACCACAAAAAAAGATATGGTAATTATGTAGCATGACAGAAGTGTTAGTTAAGGTGATGGTGTTAATCACTTTGCAATATATGAGTATTGAATCAACACACTGCACACCTTGAGCATACACAATGTTATATGTCAATTACACCTCAATAAAGCTTGAATGAGGAAGATCTAAACATGAAACCTGAAACTGAAAAACTAGAAGAAAACAGAGGAAAAACTCTTGGACATTTGTCTGGGCAATAAGTTTTTGGATATGACACAAAAGCACAGGCAGCAAAAGCAAAAATAGACAAACGGGGCTGCATTAAACTAAAAAAAAAACAAAAAAAACAAAAACAAAAACAAAAAAAACTTCTCAGCAAAAGAAACAATCAACAAAATGAAAGGAAAACATATAGAATAAGAAAATATTTGCCAATAATGTATCTGATAAGAGATTAATCTCCAAAATATATGTTACTCATATAATTTAATAGCAAACATAAATAATAAGATTTTAAAATAGAACCTGAATAGACATAAAAGTGGTCATCAGATATATGAAAAGGTGCTCAACATCAATAACCATCAGGAAAATGCAAATCAAAACTATAACTCACACCTCTTAGGATAGCTATTATCAAAAAGAAAAAGGTAAGTGTTAGCAAGGATGGGGAAAAAAGGAAACCTCTGTACATTATTGATAGGAATGAAAATGGAATAGCAATTATGGAAAACAGCATATAGGCTCCTCTAAAATTAAAAATGACCTACCTAATGATCCAGCAATTCTGGATATATCAAATAGCTTGTTGTGGCAATTATTTCATAATATACATGTATTATCAAAACATCAAGTCATATACCTTAAATATATACATTTTTATTTGTCAATTATACATTAATAAAGTTTGAAAAATAAAAATATAAATGTTAAACAGAATAAAGAATTTAAATTTATACATGTACTTACATATAATTTATATAAATATAAAGAATGTAAATTATATATATATAATAGCCCATCATCTTGGTAATGTTAATAAAAATACTGAAGACTATTTAGATGTGATAAAACAATATTACCTTTTCCAAATATGGATTCACAACGTGCATCAAGATCATGGCATTCTCCATCATAACAGATAAAATCTCTTTTACATACACGTCCATTGTGTATAGTTATATCAGGATCACAGGCTCCTGAGCTTCCATTGCAAAATTCAGGAAGATCACAATCAGGATGCACAATGGGCCTACATTCTGAACCTGCACTTAGAAACTAGTAGAAATTAAAATATAAAAAATAAAGCATTATATGTAAGATTGTTGTGTCTACAAATATTTATTTCAAACTGTGTTATTTCCACTTATAGACTGATGATCTATTTATCCATAAATGTCTATTAGTATCTTCTGTATAAAGTATTATGCTAATCATATGAAAAAAAGAATGTCACTAGTTAAAACAATAGATAAGACATATGTACAAGGAAAAGTATAACACAAATATGATGCGATGAGAACCAAGGTTTTGTTTTGTTTTAGTTCAAGGGAGTAAAATCACTTTTAGCTTGTGATAACTATTCCTTCATGGTGAAAATAGTGTAACCTAGACAGTTTCCAAATAAAATATACTTATTCAAACCAAAGTTTGTAAGTATGGAATATTTGTAATTCTATGACAAATGAGAAGCATCAATAACTGAGAATGAATAGAGGTAAATTGAAAGGTTATTAAGGAGGCAGTCTTTGGAGAGGAAGGAACCTAATTGTAATCTTTCTCCTGAACTATCCTATAGTTAATTAACACTTCCACATTTAGAAAATTTAGATAGTCTTAGAATTGACATCTATCTCATACTTCTTAATTGATAATTTCCAGGTGACACTAAAAAGAGCAGAGGTAGAGGAGGGGGAGAAATGGCATAGATGATAGAGGCTCTGTTCATCCCTCTGGCAACCAAATTAAAGTTGTGACAGAAATAAGGAGCAAACAGCAAGGAAAAATCACTTGGGATCTATATAAATAAGCCATAGTTCTAGGGAGAAACCTAAGAAATCTCCCTGCAGGAGGTAGGATGGGACAAGGATGTGAGGCTGCCCAGCCGAGCAGCTGAGTGAGACAGAGGCTGCGGCAGAGGCAGCTGGCAGCTGCAAATGCCCCTTAAACGGCTGAGTCCACAAGCAGACTTCCACGGTGACAGACCTGCTTGCTCTGAGCGCCAGTGCCATTTCAGCTGCACAGGGACTTACAGAGGAACACTGAGTTGTCAGAGTGAGGGCAGTGGCGAGGCTCTCCTAACCCCTCCCCCTACCCCAGCAGAAGTTCCAGCAGTATCCATTGTTACTCTACTGAACCCTCCCCTTCCCAGTGTGCAGACTCAGCACCGCCATAGCAGAGACTTCATCAACTGGATAAGAGGCAGCTCTGCCCAGAAGGTTCCCTGAAACTCTGTCTCCTCCAACTAGTGGTCCCACCCAAGCCACATCCAGGTGTATCCCCGGCGATTCAGGTGCTCCTTGCTGAGACTCACACTGGTGACAGCTGGCCGCAGTTTCTGGTGTGGCCTTTTGAAGCAACTATAAGGACAGTATCTGTGGATTGCTTGCTGAATCTTAACAGATGCCCCCAGAGGGGCACAGTCTTGGGATAAATTTGGCCTGCAGCTGAACCCCTCTCAGGACTGTGCCACTAAACAAAGCCATGTGAATAAGACCAAGAAACTTAGAAGCTTTGCTTAGTACATAGAAACAGACACAGAAAGGCAGTCAAAATGAGAAGACAAAGAAGCAGAAACCATATGAAAGAACAGAACAGAGATCAGGGGAAAATGGAGTCAAATAATCTCACAGATGCAGAGTTCACAAC